AGGGTGGGCTACAGAGGGTGGCAAGAAGCAGGACCAACTGCAGGGCAGCAACCAGCCAAAGCCAGACATGCTTGGAGAAGTGGCAGCCATGCTCTCCGTCTCAAGTGCCATTCTTGTCACCAGGCACATGTACATGACATCCTTTTTTTGTGTCCTGCTGTCTGTATTAACTGTGATTTTTGGTTAGGACCAACCTGGTAATTTATCACCTTTCACACTGAAATGCAGGAAACGCGCAGGACAGGCCTCCCACAGGCATCCCACCCACAGCCACCACCTCCCACAGCCCTGCCTGACCCACCTGTGCTGTCTTTGACACAGACCTGCGTCCCCTGGACATCCTGGCAGAGGTGGTTCCCATGAATGGTGCCATGGACAGAATCAAGATGATGCAGGCGCAGGGCGTTCGGGGCCTACAGCTCTCTGCCGCCGCCCCCCACATGGTGAGCTTTCCTGCCTCAAGGATTTTCTCCAGATGCGACCTCTTTCCTGAGGAGTTTTCTATCGTCGTGACCTTAAAGGTTCCCAGCCTTCCACCCAAGGTCAGTGGTGCTTGCCCTCTCTGTGTCGGAGGACCTAATTATCTTTGTGACGTTCCTAAAAGCAGTGCGTGTAGAGGGCAGGGTCGATCACAGCATGGCCAACGGGGATCATTCAAGGTCTTCTGGGGCTCTGAAAGGGAGAATGCTCTCCTTGTTGCCTTGCTAGGTAATGAGGTACTGGTAGTGTTCAGACAGAATGTGAACTGCCACGGGCAGGGAAGGGGGTGACTGCGTTGTAGGGAGGATGCTTAGAGCTTTTGTGTTGAGGTCTTCTGGCGTAGCACTTTGACGGCACGCTCAAGAAGGCCACCTTCCTAGTGTGCCACGCCTCCTTTTCTGTCTCCTCCCTACTGGCCTGGGAAGTAGAGATCAGTGGCATTCATCTGCCTTCCTACACACAGACACCCCCCACCCCACAGAGATGCACAGGTACGCCCCCCACCCCCAACATACACACACCATGCACACACAGACAACCACACACTTGTACATACGCAGACACCCAGCCCCATACCATGCACACAGAGCATACACACAGAGACACATGCATATACACACAGACACACAGATATACACCCACACTGTAGGCATGTGGGCGCTCATACACATGACCACACAGACATACCACACCCACTACATGCATGCACACACAGAGACACACATGAGTCCTGGGATAATGCCCAGCAGATAAGCATGAATTCATGTTTGGGATTTGGAACGGCACTGTGATGACTCATTGCAGGCTCCTCCAGCAGCAGACGCAGTCCCAGCATCCTGCGGCATTCTGCTCCTTCCTCTGTGAGCTCCTGCCTAGTTCTCAGGGTCCCTATTCTGTGGGTCTGCAGTGCCCACCTCTTCCCCATGAACCAGACTCAGCCCTCCATCTCGGTTATCCTCAGGAGTGGGGCTCCAGGATGTGGCTCTGGTGACCAGGATGAGGACAACCCCAGAGGCTGCCTCTGCCTAGAAGCTTCTGCTGCTGTTAGAGCTATCATTCCGCTTTTCCCATGCTCAGCAACTTCCTGGCAGTTTTGCAGAGTTGTAACTTACTACTTCTGGACCTAGTCAGTTGTAGGGTATTCCATCACCTCCAAAGAACCCTGCACCCACTACCCTCACCCCACAAAGCTGCAGCTGGGCTACCTCTGTCCCTGTGGGTTTGCCTGCTCCACACATTCCATACACAGAGTCCTGCAACATGTAGTTTTCTGTGGCCAGTTAATCCTGCTTACTATGCGTTCTCAAGGTCCATCCATGTGGTAGAGGAGAGGAATTCTTAGGTCATATGGTGACTGCCACGAACTGTTCTCCAAGGCAGCTGCACCCTTTCATGTCCCCACCAGCAGTGTGGTTTCTCCACATCCTTGCCACCCTGAGTCATTGCCTGACTTTTTTATTCTAAACAACATGAAGAACACAGCATATCTAGTGGTTTTGATTTGTAGTTTCCTGATAAAAATGAGGTGGGTAACTTTTTATGTGTCTTGGCCATATGTTTGTCTTCTTTGGAGAGCTATCTACTTTACATAGTAAGGAGTTAAATATTCAATAATAGGGGCCAGGGAGATGGCTCAGTGGAATAAGCGCTTTCCTGGCAAGTGTAAGGGCCTGAGTTCAATCCCCGGCTCCGGAAAAAAAAAAAAAAAAAAATTCAATAAAAGTCCCTTACAAGGGACTTTTAAAACACTTATTCTCATTCTATAGATTATCTTTTTACTTTTGTGATAAAATCCTTTAAAGTACAAAATTTTTATATTTTGATGAAGTTCAATTTCTCCTTTTTCTTTTGCTGCTTATACTTTTGGTGACATATCTAAAAAGCCACAGCCAAATCCAAAGCCATCAAGACATACCTTGAGTTTTATCCTGAGTGCTATAGTTTTGTACTTGCATTTATTCTCAGGTCCATTTGAGTTAGTTTTTGCAGGTGGCATGAGATAAGATCCAGTAGCTCTCATTTTATCTTTTTCTCTTTCTTTCTTTTTTCCTCCTTTTCTTTCTTCCTTTCTTTCCTTCTTTCTTTTGTACTGGAGATTGAACCCAGGGCTTTTTGTATACAAGGCAAGAACTCTACCACTGAGCCACCTCCCCAGCCAATTTTATTCTTTCACATCCAGTTGTCTAAATGCATTTGTCAGAGATGAATTCCTCCCTATAAAAAGATTGCTACATCATTTTTGGATCTACGGGTGGTAGATATGTGGGCCTATTTGTGGCCTCTCCATTTTGTTCCATTGATCTCTTTATTCATACACCAGTACCATACAGTCATGGCCACTGCAGCCATGTCATGAATTTTATAATTTGGAATTGTGAGTTGTTCATTTTTCTTCTTTTCTTTCTTTTTCTTCTCCTTCTTCTTGTTCTTCTTCTCCTTCTTCTACTTCTTGTTCTTTTTTTCCTTCTTCTTCTCCTCCTCCTTTTTTCCCTCCTTGTATGTTTTGTTCATTCTGACACCCTTGCAATCCCACATTAATTCAAAACTAAACATGTCAATTTCTATAAATTTAGCTGGCTCCTGATAGAAATTGGGTAATTCTGTAATTTGAATTGGGCAATACTGCCACATTCACAGAATTAAAAAGTCTGGCCCAGAGATATGGGATGTTTTCCCTTTGATTCACAGCTTTAACAAAATAAAAATAATATTTTATAGCTTTCAGAATGTAACTTTTGCATTCATTTGGTAAATCCATGCTTTTGTATTTTCTCTTTGATGCTATTGTGCATTGAGTTGTTATCCTAATCTCATTTTGGCCTGTCCATTACAGGTGTGTGTGTGTGTGTGTGTGTGTGTGTGTGTGTGTGTGTGCCCATGTGTCAGCCCACCCTGGGGGCGGGGTGGCATGTGGTGCCAGGAATTGAACCATGGTCCCTAGGCTTGCCTAATCTTGCCTAAGCAAGTGCTTTAGACCGCTGAGCTATCTTGCCAGCTCCTGCTTTCACATTTTTGTGCCTTTTTAAATTAAAAATTTGATTTGGGTGATTTTGCTGTTTGAGTAGCACCTTGATACAGCAATGAAGCACTGTGTGGTGCTCCACAGGGAAATGACCGACGATCCTCTAAGGGAAGCAAGTATGTCTGCATATCCAGGCATGAGTCATGGTGCTGCCGGCGGGGGTCAGTGTCCATTAATAAACAATAAATATTGAACATACTTGTATTAGTCACGTTTCCACCACTGTGGTAAAATAACTGTGAGAAAACAACTCAAAGGAAGAAAGATTTGTTTGGGCTCCCAGTTTCAGGGGCTTCATCTGATGGTCATCCGACCCAGCAGTTTTCAGGCCTGTGTTAATCCAGATATCACGGCAAAGGGTGTGGTGGGGGACAGCTGCTCACCTCAAGGTAGCCAGGAAGCAGAGAGGGGAGGAGCCAGAGTGAAGGGGCCAATGGAGTCCCAGTCAGTCCCACCCCGTGATCCAGGCCTTTCAGCTAGGCCTCAGCTCCTGTTTCTGTCTCCTTCCAACAGAGCCATCAAGTTCCAGTCCCATCAATGGCTTAATCCACTGCCCCTTCATGAACCAATCATCTCCCAAGGCCCATCAGATTTCCTTTGGGAACATTTGAGATCCAAACCGTGACAAACATGAAATAAGACTGCATATTGATCAGTGGAAAATAGGGCCAGATGCTCTTCTGTAGCAGCCGTGGTACAGTGTTTGTTAATTCAGCATTTGATGTGACTTCTGTTTCTATTTATGTCTGTTTGGGCTTTTATGACCCAGACCCCTGTTTTTATGTAGCCCAAGCTGGCCTCAAATTTGCAATCCTCTTGCCTTAACTTCCCAAGAGCTCAGATCACAGGCTGTGCCACCATGTCCTGCTTGCAGTGACTGTATATAAAATACCTACCATTAACAATGAGAATCAGTTATGGTGGATTTGTGACTATATTTTGCCTTTTATTTCTTGTGTCTCATGTGATTTTTGGTTTCTTCTCCCTGACTCCTTTCATTTACACTAAGATGATATATTCTAATGTAGGATTTTCATTTCTTTAATGTTTTTTTTCCCCACTGTTTCTTTAGTGGATGCTCTACTACATACCAAAAATTTATTTTAGCCTATCACAATTAACTTCAGATTTGTAATGACTCAATTCCAGTGAAATATAAAAACATTGCTCCTGGGCCTAGGAGATAGCTCAGTGGTCTAAGAGCCTGCCTGGCAAGTGTAAGGACCCAAGTTCGATCCCTAGTACCGCATGCTACACCGGGCCAGAACCCAGAGACATGATGCCGGCCACCAAAACTGGGCATGGTGATGCACACCTGTAGTCCCAGCACTGGGGAGGCTGAGACAGGAGGATCACTATGAGTCTAAGCTGCATAGTGAGACACTGTACCAAATTAATTAATTAATTAATTTTAAAAAACACTGCTCCTGTCTAACATTGATCCTTTTTGCCATCTTAATGGTCTTATTGTGATGCAGGTTTATATATAAATACTAAAAACCCAAGAATAGATTGCAGTAATTGTTACTTTACATAATTTTATGATTTTTGAAAGAATCTTAGAGGAAAAAGGGAGAGCAATGATATACTTACAAACCTTATTATATTAATCTCCTTTTCCTCATCTCTGACTCCTTTCATGTTTTTCTTTTTTTTTTTAATGTATTTAGTACGGGGTCTATATGGTCTCACTATACAGATGGGATTCATAGTGATCCTCCTGTTTTCAGCCTCCCAAGCATTGGGATTACAGGTGCATGTCACCACACCCAGTCTTAATTTTTTTTTTATCTTTCATTTTTTCCTGTGGATTTGAATTACCTTCTAGAGGGACTTCCTTCACTTACTGTGGCTTTGCTCCCCACACGCCTCCTTTGTGCTGCTATTACCAGCTACATATTTTCCATCTGTTATAGGCCCATCAACACATTTTCTACTCAGTTGTCTTTTTAGTAAGGTAAGAAAGGCAACAAGAAGAATATATGTTTGCATTATCTTCCACAGTCCCATGGTCCCCTTCACTGGTGACTTTGGACTTGCATGGGATATGTCTTTGACCCGACATCACACTCTCTCCTTTTGAAGACTCCCACTGGGTCTCCTACAATGCACAGCCAGTAGCAGGACCCTTCAGCTTCTATTTCTTGGGATATCTTTATTTTGCTTCCATTGTTGAAGGATAGTCTGGTTGGGTACAGGATTCTTGGTAGACCATGCTTTTCTGTGAGGATATGAACAGCTATCCTGCTGCCTCCAGACCTCCAACGTCTATGAAAATCAACCTGTGCTGCTCTGGGTTCCCTAGTCAGTGTCCCACCCTCTTTCTCTGGCTGCTATCAAGATTTCCCCACTTGATTTATTTTGCAGTCTTTTTCCTACCATCTGTCAATTTAAGAATATTTTCTGTGTTTTTCACTTGGAGTTGGATGACTTTCCTGAATATATAGATTGATGTTTTTCCATGCATTGAGCAAGTTGTGAGCCATTATTTGAAGAATCATTTGTCCATTCCTACCTGCCTTTGCCAAGCTTGTGCTGCTGAGCTATTTCCCTGGAGTGTCTTTGCCAAGAAGTACTCCAGCAAAGACCTGCACACTGATCAGAGGGCACAGGGACCCCAAACACCATAGCAAACTGGCTCATGCAAGCACCCAGGAGCCAAATACATCAGATTTGGCAGAGTGACAACTAAATGCAAGGACAGGAGATGGTCACCAAACTGCACTGCTCCCCATTACAGCCCAAGAACTGCAGAATGAGCTGCCACATGCAGTCATGCAGGTCTTTGTATGACATGGCCCCATGGGTAGCAGACACTGCTCTCTGAGGAGGGTAGCAGAGCCACACTGGCAGCAGTCTACAGAACCACGAAAGGCATTCACATGGGGGCCGTGGGAACTCTGAGGACTGGATTGCAGGCGATGTTGCTGGCATCTTGGAGAGGGGAAGAAGTGGTGAACTCTGCCATGGACAGTTCTGGGAAATGAGATTAGAAAGAGGCAAATAGCATCAAGGTGGTCTCAGCCCTTCTCTGTGAACCATCTCTGCCCCAGGAAGACACAGCCTCAACCCTGTCCCAGGGATCACCCTGAGTGGAAATGTGACCTCTGCACACAGAGAGCAGCAACCTTAACCACACAGAGGACCTTGGTCCAAGCACCACCAGTCTGAGTTCTCCCACCTTCCTGCCAGCTAGGGGAGAGCAGTGTGCATAAGAACAGGTGTCCCAGAGTAGGGCAGAAATCCTGACTTCCACCATTTCTGTATTGCCTCTGCCACTATACCCAGAGAGCCCATGGACACAACCTAAGCATCATGCTGGTTGACCCAGGAAACCCTGACTCAGGACAGGATAGACCAACCAGGGTCATAGCCAGCAGTAGCCAAAACACTGAGCCAGAGACATGAGACACAGGCGAACTCCAAACACGATCAGGAAGAGGAAGCCTTCATTAAGCCACTCCTGGGACAACACAAAGAACACAGAGGAGTATAAAAGTGCAAGTGCCAGTACACACACTCACACACACAATTCACACACACTCACAACCACACCTACCCTTGCCCAGCCCCTACCATGGCCGCCTCCACCATGTCCATCTGTTCCAGCACTTGCACCGAGCCCTGGCAGGTGGATGACTGCCCAGAGAGCTGTTGCGAGCCCCCCTGCTGTACCTCCAGCTGCTGTGAGCCCAGCTGCTGTGCCCCAGCTCCCTGCCTGAGCCTCATCTGCACCCCATGCTGCCAGTCAGGCTGCACCAGCTCCTGTACGCCCACGTGCTGTCAGCAGTCCAGCTGCCAGCCAGCTTGCTGCTCCTCCTCCTGCCAGCCATCCTGCTGCGTGCCTGCCTGCTGCACACCTGTCTGCTGCAAGCCTGTGTGCTGCACACCCGTCTGTTGTAAGCCTGCCTGCTGCACACCTGTCTGCTGTAAGCCTGTTTGCTGCACACCAGCCTGCTGCACACCCGTCTGCTGCAAGCCTGTCTGCTGCACACCTGTCTGCTGCACACCTGTCTGCTGCACACCCGCCTGTTCTGGTGCTTCCTCCTCCTGCTGCCAGCAGTCTAGCTGCCAGCCGACTTGCTGCTCTTGCTCTCCCTGCCAGTCATCCTGCTGCACACCCATGTGCTGCAAGCCTGTCTGCTGCATGCCCTCCTGCTCCTCTGTGTCCCTGCTCTGCCGCCCTGCCTGCCCCCGCCCGGCCTGCTGCAGCCTCTCCCTGGGCCAGAAGTCCTGTTGTTGATTGACCTCATCCTCCAGGGCCAGCAAGCTTCGGTACCATGCTTTAAAGTTATGCTGAGACTAACTCTGACTTGATCCTTCAACCTTAGACTCTTTCCCACTCCTCTCCAATAGGCTGTGCTGATCCCAGGGCTTGGTGGCCCATGGGCAGCTCCCAGCATCCTCAGAGTTATAGCATCCCAAACCCTATTCTGCATCTGGCCTGATTGGTGGTCACTGAGTCCTCCCTACAGAGTGAGCTGCCACTCAAAGAGAGTCAGCCCTGTACCTTCCCCCAGGTCCCTTGCATACCTGACAAACCATGCAGGTCTGAGATATGGGAGTGGCATCACTTTGGGACCCTAACCTCCAGCTGTACCCAGGCTGACTATGCCACAGACAGGTCAGTCATCTCCTCCCACAGTGCCTGGCTCTCTCATGATAATCATTCCTGCCAGCCCCCAGCATAGGTAATCTGTCCAGTAAGGAGATTCCAGCTCAGGATTCCTGGGACGGTCAGGGGCAGAGAGGCCTGCACAGGCCCTGGCACAGAACTCACTGCACCCTGGCCACTGGCCCAGGCCCTCTGTGTGCCCTGGGCTGCAAATCCCCACATCCAAATCAGCTCTCCTGCACTCCTTGACCGTGCCTCTGTTCTTTCTGCTCCCACCCACCATCCCTACTATTCAATAAAATAAATATTCTCTTCCATGGAAGACCCTGTTAATCTCGTCTATTTCTTAACTCTCTGAGAACATTTGCTTTTTGATCTCTGTATGGGATTTTGAACACCTGAAATCTCTGAAACACATTTTCATTTTTTGTAGTTTCTGCCATTCTTGCTACTGGCCTTGTTTCCTTGTGTACTTTGTTCCTTTGGTTGAAGAATTCTCCTTGCTTTGTGAGGGTGTCATCATGCTGGCCCTCCACCTTAGACTCCATCCTCTGCCTCCAGCAAGGCTATTCAATGCCAGGTGTAAGTGTGACAACCCAATAGATGTTCTGCAGGACAGAGTGATCTCTGGGTTTTTCTCAAGGACCCAGGTCAGAGCAGGACTCTTTAGCACAAGGACCAGAACTCAGCAGAAGGGAAAAGGTTACACTTTTCTTCACAACAACTTCTCACCAAAATCCAGCCCTAGGAGAGTTCTTAGGACCTGTGACCTATCACAGATAGGTCAGACAGTGAGTACCATTTGATGTCACCATCATTTCTTAGGTCACGTTTGCAGTCCATAATGAGTACATTCATCATGGGCAGTTGGGACACATACATACCACATCTCAATTCTTTTCATGTCCCCTTCCCCTCACTCCATCTCATCTACCTTTCACTACAAACCTTCATGTTGAGTGTCCTTCTGCTCAGAGTGGCCCCACACCGGAGCCCTCAGAATGCTAACCCTGTGTCTGCTCCCCACCTCAACCCCCACAGCTTGTGAGTAACTGAGCCTCCTCAGATCCTCTCTATTCTTGGCCCACAGTGTGATAGCTGCATTGTCACCCTGGACCTATGTCTCATCCCTCTCAGTCTAACCAGCAGTGGCACTGCTGGTCCCAGTGCACCAAGAAAGCCTGTGCTACCCACACTATCTCTCTGTGTTGATGGCACATGGAGTGGGATAGTCCTGCCTCTGGATGCTGACAGTTGGCCCTCTGGCATCTACATCCCCTCGTTCTGTGTCTACTATCAGCCATTGGATTCCCACAGGAGCAAGAACCCTACTGTAAACGGTGACTGTGTGGTGTCTGGGTTTTGCACTTCCTATGAGACTCTAGTCTGGAACACCACTTTGCAACCATGGGAAAAATGTCTTACATGAAACGTATCTGGGCTGCAAAAAGGGTGAGGGCTGTGGCACTACAAGAAGGATGCAATCAAGCCAAAATAGGCAGCTGAGCTCAGAAAACTGCTCAGAATTCCTCCTCCCAATTTCTGCTGCCCAAACTGGGCAATGACTTGGAGGCTCATGCCAGGTGGAATAAGTGCACCTTAATTCCAAGAAAGGATAACCATCTCTTTGATGAGTCTGGGGTTGCCTGAAGTACATACAAGCAGCCTGTCTTAATTTCTCTAACTTCACAACTTGCTCAAGGTGTAAAGGAAACTACAAAGAGATTATTTGTCAGAAGACTTAAAGGTGAACGAGAGAGTCACCACCAGCAAGGCCAAAGGATGTCAGATGGGTGGGAAAATGGACACCTCAAAAGGCAAAACAGCACAGCAGGTAGATAAGGCTCTTTTAAAAACTAAAGTATTTGAGTGTTCACATTGCTGGAGTGTAAAAGGCCACACACCCATCCAGTGTGGCTACTTGCTCAGAAAACCCAGGAGTAGCTCTCAGCAATCACCTCAGCCTCAAACTCTAAGCAAGTGGGAGGTGAAGGCACAAGCAGGAAATGGGGAGTGAGCAGGAAGTGGAG